TAGAATAAGAGGTATAAAGTAGCACTGTAGAATAAGAGGTATAAAGTAGCCCTGTAGAATAAGAGGTATAAAGTAGCACTGTAGAATAAGAGGTATAAAGTAGCCCTGTAGAATAAGAGGTATAAAGTAGCCCTGTAGAATAAGAGGTATAAAGTAGCACTGTAGAATAAGAGGTATAAAGTAGCACTGTAGAATAAGAGGTATAAAGCAGCTCTGTAGAATAAGAGGTATAAAGTAGCACTGTAGAATAAGAGGTATAAAGTAGCCCTGTAGAATAAGAGGTATAAAGTAGCACTGTAGAATAAGAGGTATAAAAGTAGCACTGTAGAATAAGAGGTATAAAGCAGCTCTGTAGAATAAGAGGTATAAAGCAGCACTGTAGAATAAGAGGTATAAAGCAGCACTGTAGAATAAGAGGTATAAAGCACTGTAGAATAAGAGGTATAAAGCAGCACTGTAGAATAAGAGGTATAAAGTAGCCTGTAGAATAAGAGGTATAAAGTAGCTCTGTAGAATAAGAGGTATAAAGTAGCACAACACTGTTTATTTTTTTTTTAATGAATGCTTTTTATCAATGGTTAAATTAATTAAATTAATTTCTTAGTGTAAGCTTCCTGATGGTGACAACAATGGACCGTGGCTGTGTAATATGCACTGAAACAGCCACTTATGGTCTCCATCAGAAGCCACGTGACAAGGTAACAATGCAGGAGCAGGTGGGAGATTGGAACAGGTCATTTTCCTCATGTGATAAGAAAGTGCCTGAAAATGGGCCTTCATGACAGGATCGCCAAGTGTTATTTTAATGAAAGCTGCAGATATGGAAATATTGAAACTTGCTTTGAAATGACGCAAGCCAACAATAAAATTTAGTGATTGGAGTGTAAGCAGGTACGGTCTCTTTCCTCCACTGCAAGTTGCACTAAAACCACAGCAGAATTGCAGAGGGAGAGGCAGTCAGGAGGAACTTATTTGTCTATGGTTTCCTGGGTCACTGGGAAATAATCTGGTTGGATGTTGCTGTCCCATGGCACTCTGGCAGCCATCTTTGGTGAGGACAAAACTTACAAAAAGCCCTGGCTCACTTGGCATTGGCACCTGGCATTTAGCGATCGGATAGTGTAGGGACAGAGCACCTGTCTGTCAGGGAAAGTGAATAGTAGTAGGGAAAGGTTCCAGATGAGTAGGAACAGGCTAGGGACATGCCATCCTTTCTCAGAATCCTTCCCATTGGGCTCAGACTGGCCAGGCCACATTCCGCCCTCGGAGACAGACGCTGTTGGTGCATCAGAACCTACTCCACTCTACAAGGTACACAAAACTGTGAGTGTTTCTCTGTTTGGTGCCTTCCTGCTGGGCTATTTGTATATTTGGGCCGTTTCTTCAATTGTTATTTGCAACCAGACTCGGTGTGTTTTACTGCCGCTGCACCAAACTGCACCTACTCAAAGGGTTTTGATAGTTTTGTGTCCATATTTTAAGGATTTAAATGTTTTAGGCTAGGTTCACGTCTGAGTGGTTCTGCAAGCCGTGATTGCGTGCGCATGGCAGCCTATTCATTTCCTGCAGGAAAAAGGTCCCTGCACCTTTTTAAAATGCTTTCACACAAAAAATCGCATGCTTTTTCGCCATGCGTTTCCATCTGTGGAAAACCACACCTCATTTTTCAGTGCCTTAAGTGCCATTAGGCGTTAACGTCACCCCAGAGCACTTTGTGCTGCATGTGTTTGCTGGAATGCATACGATTACACTCAGCCCTGCACCCCACACAGATTTGAACCTAGGCTTAAAGAGTTATAAATGATTAAAAGGTCCGAGAAGACAAGTTTTGCAATTCCAAAATTTCTTTATAACCAGAAATCAGATTACTGCCAATTTTAAGAGCATAAACTGTACAAACGCGCTGTCCTTTAGCAGGTCAGACTGTGAAGGTCTTTGCTTGCAGGGTCATTAAGCCATTTGAAAGTACATTGTGCTACCAAACCAATTTTATTTGTATTGAATATTGTCCTGGTACTAAGCTATGTCTTATTATGCTTGTTATAGGAAATAGTATGCAATCCATTAATGTTGACATCCTACTCCTGCATGAATTATTATGATGTTCTTAAACATAGAGTCCAGTCATCATATCATGATGTGATAGCATCAGTTTCAATAGAATTAAGATTTAATAATAAAAATTTCTATTTTTCTACTGAAGGTTTCTGAACAAATGGCAGACATCCCAGAAAAAATTCCATTCACTGCAGAACTCTTATGATTAATTAAAGCGGAACTAAATCCACTAGTTTAGCTGTTTCCCAAAAGAAAGCTCAGATTCAAAATGTGCAAGAAAGATGATTACATCCTTACTCAAACATATCAATGTTGTTTTCTGCAGTGTTTTCTTATATATTCTGTATATTAGCACATGTGCCATGTTTGCTACATTTAAAGCATGCCTCTTGTGATTAGTGTCACAGTTGCCAGTGTACTCATGCCAGCTCCAGTGCCTTACCTCAGGGGGCATCCACCCGGGTACAACCATGTTTAGGGTGCTCTAGGACTGTACACCTCACTGAATGCACATTGCCACTTTGCTCTACAGGCAGGGCTGTGGATAAGGGGGTACCACGAGTCCTCCTGCATGGGGCCCAGACCCGCCAGGGGGGCCCAGGCAGCTGGGTGAATCAGATGTGGGCAGGGAGGGTGATGGGTGGGCCCCTCCCCTGCACCCAAAACCCCCCACCTCTGCTATGCTGACGGCTTCCCTCTTCTCCTTCCCTCCGGCAGCTACAAGCACACAATAGGATCCTTCAGGATGGAGAGTGGGGGAAGGGTCCAGTAAATATGTCACATTTACCAGCCCATTCCTTTCCTGAATGAACACAATGAGTGATTGGTGCTGATCACTTAATGTGTTCATTCATAACTGAAGCAAAGTAAACTGTTTTTTTTTGGGGGGGGCTGTCAGGTTGGCTGTATGGGGCCCCGTGATTTCTAACAGCAGCCCTGTCTACAGGACAAACCCTAGCAGTCCTGTCAGATTTCAGAGGAAAGCCCTCCTAAGCGCTTTGTCATCTCTGTATCACAATATACCACGAGGGAAAGCTTTGGAAGACCTCTTACAGGAACTGCTGAATCTGAGGTATGGTAAGAGTTTCAATGAAAAGAAGGGTATTGTTAAGGAAAGGAAAGGGGTTTGCTGATGGGGAGTTTTCCTGTGTGATATGAGGTTTTGCAAGGGAAGAGGGTTTTTTGCTGGTGGCGGTGGTTTTTTTCCAGGGGAGGGTTTTTTTTTGCTGGTTAGGGGCTCTGTTGGGAAGGGATTTGAAGGAGATATTTTCACTTGGGGGTGAGGAAGGAGAAAATGTTGTCTGTATGTTGTCATGGGCGTACCCCTGAGGACGTGCATGCGCACAAAATGCGTCAGTTGGAGCCTACATTGCTGACGTCACGCCGCCGCTGCCGAAGGACGGAGCGGCAGCCATTTTGGTATCTGTATACTTTTTACTCCATGTGGATTATATGGAAATGACATTTTAATGCAATAATAAAATACTACGCTATATTAGTACTCTTGGCTCCTGTGGTTAAGCTATTTCCCTAGGACAAGGGCTTTCTATTCCATCTACACCTTGATGATACAGGAGGATTAACCCCTCGGCTGCCGATGCACCTCCAGATGTGACATGATATGATATACGCCATATATTGTATATCTTCTGGTGAGTGTACATCCGTCCAAGGTGGTGGATTCCATATGCGAATATTCACACATTCACACTCCGCACTTGGCGATTTTGCACAGTATCTACTTAAGGACGTTTTATGAATGAAATACGCTTGATGAATATTATTTATTATTTTGATATACGCAGTCACGGACACTATCATTTATTCACTATATTGCACTTTACTGCACAGATTAGCACTTCTTACTTGCGGACTTGATTTATTGCTTTCTTGAATTTTATACACGCAATGCTATTTATTTATTCTTATATGCTGCACTTTAGTGTTCTACTCTATATATTTGTGTGATTTTAGCACTGCACTTCTATATTCACATGATTTCTTGTTTGATGAGCAAACTGGCCTGGGTTTGATTTCCAGGTTGCTAGGTGATCTCAGTGTATGTTCAGGAAACTGAATACTTTAATCTTAACTTCAGAGGGGAAGAATTGTCAAACAAAGGACATGGAGAGACTGTTAGGGGGACATGTGCTGATGCAAAAAAAAGAAAACAGGTCAGCACGGAGAGGTTACTCCTTTTTTACGTAACTTAAAGGGGGACATGGGAAAAACACCAATCCTTTTACAGGCTTAGGAGATAGCTTTAAGCAGTGTTATGGAACAGTATGTTTCTCACGGAAAGCGCCAGTGACATCATATTCTGGCATCTCATATTTAGCATGTATGATAGAATTATTTTTTAAGTATTGCTTTGCTTAACTAGTTGCCCTCCAGAGGATTTACCCCCCTTTCTGACCAGGCCATTTTTTTGGGATACGGCGCTGCGTTACTTTAACTGACAATCGCACAGTCATGCAACACTGCACCCAAATTAAATTTATGCCCTTTTTTCCCACAAATGGAGCTTTCTTTTGGTGGTATTTGATTGCCTTTGCATTTTTTTTATTTTTTGCGCTATAAACAAAAAAAGACCAACAATTTAATAAAAAAAAAAACAATATTTTGACTATTTGCTTTAAAACATATCCAGTAAAAAAAATTTAGAAAACCTAATTTTGTCATAAATTTAGGGCAAAATGTATTCTGCTACATGTCTTTGCTAAAAAAAAAAATCCCAATGCGTGTAAATGAATTGGTTTACATGAAAGGTATGGCATCTACAAATGGCAGTATATATACTGGAATTTTTATTTTTTTTAATACTAGTAATAGCGGTGATCAGTGACTTACAGAAGGACTGTGGGACTGTGGCGGGCATTCTGACACAGGGAAACTGACTAACTGTCACTGATATCCCCAGTGACACTAATACAGTAATCAATGCTAATAAAAAGCACTGACACTGTAGTAATGACACTGGGCAGGAAGGGGTTAACATATGGGGCAATCAAAGGATTAACTGTGTGCTGTGTGTGTTTTACTGTGTGCTGTGTGTGTATTGTACTAGGGAGGCATCCTGTTTTGTTTTGCTCTGCCATGCAGAGCAATATAAAGCAGCATGCTGGAGCTGACAGGGGAGAGATCTGTATTGTTTACATACAGACCTCTCCCCTGTCAGTAATACTCTGTGATCTCCGGGTGCCAGACCAGGTGATTGACAGCTGGAGTTGCCAATGGCATCGTGGTTAGGGTGCACATGCCCCCTACCCGGAAATACAAAATCACGTATATATACACGTGATTTTGCGCAGCCCTGCTGCCCTTTAGCAGTATTTGTGCTATTGTTAAATACAGCAACAGCCCAAGCTGATTTCATTACAAATTGACAGAAAAGGTTTTTATCTTTTTTCAGATAGTTTTGGATGCAACAGACAATTTTATTTTTTCCATCAGTAATAGGTCTGAACTGAGCAGTGGAATTAGAACTCACAACAGATCTAAACAAATCTAAGTAGGTCAGTGGCAAAAACAATTTCATAATGTAGCTTGTGATCTTCTTTTTCTGTATTACCACAGTGTATTGTCTTAAAAGCAAAGTGAACAAAAGCACTTCCAAATCAAAACCCCGCATTAGAGACAGGGTAGTTTTTATCCTGAAATAAAAGTGTTTTATTTTAGAGACAACAGCTGGAAACACTGTACAGACTCACTGCACATTATGTAAGTAAGTTTTACTTGGCTTCCATTCGGTGACCTGAGGAGCCAAGACCAATGGATCATAAAAGGGTCACTTTCTGGAAATGCAATCTCTGGAAAGCCAGCCAAATAGGTGGCCAATCAGTAATGGTCCCTTTTCATGGCTCAAATGCTGGGGTCTTTACATTGAAAATGCAGCATGAATAAGCCCATTCACCACAATTTGCCAACAGGAGAGGACACTGAGTCCTCTGTGTTGTTAAATACCTCAATATTCATAACAATATCATCCCACCTATGCACAAATCCTGATGTTTGGGAGGGGTGAAACATACCCCTACAAGTTTGCCCTATGTCCTCCTCCTCATCATTGCTGGCACCCCAACTCTTTATCTGCTACCGTACAGGCATGGAGTCAGTTGTCAACAGAGCCTGCAGGTCCTGAGACACTAGAAGATCCCCTATTCCTCCTGCCACTCTACCTAGAGTGCCTAATCTATTACACTATTCATGGTGTGATCCAGCAGCAACACCGAAGGCACAGTTTCAGTGATCAGTGCTTCAGCACAACTCATCATTCTGGTTGTTTCATCGAGTAGAAAAAAGATGGTAAATGCGTCCTGAATCAGGGACCACTGATATGGTGAAAAGAACCCCAGATCCCCATAACCTCATCCTGTATTCACACAAATACTTGTGACGACCTGTCTGTTGCAGGTACAGTTGCTGCAGCATGGCCAACCTTAAGTTCCTGCACATGGGATATTGCATATCAGGCAGTTGGCAGGCAGCTTGTGTTGTCATGAATTTTGGAAAGGAGAACACTTGCTGCTATGATTACACACTTGCCTGGCCTGCCATAGGACATCCTGGAAGCCCTGGTACCTATACAGAACCTGCCTAAAAGGCAGACAGCAGATTGGTACCAATGTCACACATAAACTTTGTTGGCAGGTGTAATTAAAGTGGTTGTAAAGGGTGAAGGTTTTTTACCTTCATGCATTCTATGTGTGAAGGTAAAAAACCTGTGTGCAGCAGCTCCCCCAGCCCCCTCAATACTTACCTGAGCCTCATAGCGATCCAGCGATGTGAATGACAGCCTCGGCTGTCCCGGGACTCTGCCTCCTCATTGGTTGAGACAGCAAGCGAGAGCCATTGTTCCCGCTACTGTCAATCGCAGCCAGTCAGCCAATGAGGAGAGAGAAGGGGCAGAGCAAAGCCGCGGCTCCATGTTTGAATGGACACACGGAGCAGCGGGTGCCTCTATAGCAAGCTGCTTGCTGTGAGGGCACCCAAACAGACAGGAAGAGCCAGGAGAGCCTGCAGGGGACCCAAAAAGAGAAGGATCCAGGCTTCTCTGTGCAAAACCACTGCACAGAGTAGGTAAGTATAGACAAGTTTGTTATTTAAAAACAAAAATGAACCTTTAGAATCACTTTAATCCTTCATTCTGTAGGTGGCACAGTGCTCCTGCACCTCTGATCAGTTGAAGTGCAGCCTGAGAGGAACATCATCTGAAAACTCCATAGGGGTGTCAGGGCTCCAGGTACGACCAGAGATGCGTGAACTGACACAGGGAAACGCAGGCTCAAGTATGGTGTAACAATATAATTTATTAAAGACTAAACAATACATAAACGCAGTGCAAGACTAAACATAAACACAGTGCAACCAAACCTCCAACAGATAACAATAGGAACAATACTAAACGTAGTCGGGCAGGCCGGGTCGGTAGCAAACGGGCAGGCAAGGTACAAGGAGCAGGCGGAAGAGTAGTCAGGAATAGCCGAGGTCAGGACAGGCGGAGTTCATTCAGAGTCAGGATCAAGCAGAATCAGGAATCAGGCAGGAAGCAGACAGGATGCAGGTACAAGGGCTCATGGGAAACATACACCAAGGCACTGACTGCAGGTCTGGCCATTCCTTAAATACACCTTCTGCAATCAGCCCCAGGTGTTGGCTGATTGCAGGAGTGAGCTTCTGGCTGCTGAGAGCACCCGCTGGTCAGCCCTGGTACTGCAGGCCACACGGCAGGTGAGTCCCACCACCAGTGCTGAGTCCATTCCTGACAGTACCCAACCCAAGGAGCGGCCTCAGGACGCTCCAAACAGTCCTTAGTGGGCAAAATGTTCCACCGCCCGGGTCAGGTAACTGGCTGGATATCTTACTGCCGGAGTCAACCGGCTGGCTGGGTTTCCTGCTGGCAGACTTCTCTTTATGTAAGGGAACCCAGAAAGGCAGGTTGCTGGACACAGGATCTCCAAGAGCAGGCTGGGAATCAGTTATTGGCCAGTTTAGCTGGACATCAGGGGCTGGCACATCAGGCTGCGCAGCGGACAGAGGCACATCGGGCTGGGCAGAAGGCCAGGCAGCGGGCACCGGGCCATCAGGCAGAGCAGCGGGCACCGGGCCATCAGGCGGAGCAGCAGGCAAGGCAGCGGGCACCGGCCCATCAGGCGGAGCAGCGGGCACCGGGCCATCAGGTGGAGCAGCGGGCACCGGGCTATCAGGCGGAGCAGCAGGCACCAGGCCATCAGGCGGAGCAGCGGGCACTGGGCCATCAGGCGGAGCAGCAGGCAAGGCAGCGGGCACCGGGCCGTCAGGCGGAGCAGCGGGCACCGGGCCATCAGGCGGAGCAGCAGGCAAGGCAGCGGGCACCGGGCCGCCAGGCGGAGCAGCGGGCACCGGGCCATCAGGCGGAGCAGCGGGCACCGAGTCATCTGGCAGAACCGCGGGCACTGGGTCACCAAGCTCGACAGCGGGCACCGAGTCATCTGGCACGACAGCAGGCACTGAATCATCTGGCACGACAGCGGGCACTGAGTCATCTGGCACGACAGCGGGCACCGAGTCATCTGTCAGAACCATGGGCACTGGATCACCAAGCTCGACAGTGGGCACCGAGTCATCTAGCAGAACCGCGGGCACTGGGTCACCAAGCTCGACAGCGGGCACCGAGTCATCTGGCACGACAGCGGGCACTGGGTCACCAAGCTCGACGGGCACCGAGTCATCTGGCAGGACAGCGGGCACCGAGTCATCTGGCAGGACAGCAGGCATCGAGTCACCAAGCTCGACAGCGGGCACCGAGTCATCTGGCACGACAGCGGGCACCGAGTCATCTGGCATGACAGTGGGCACCGAGTCATCTAGCAGAACCGCGGGCACTGGGTCACCAAGCTCGACAGCGGGCACCGAGTCATCTGGCACGACAGTGGGCACCGAGTCATCTGGCACAACAGCGGGCACCGAGCCATCTGGCAGAACCACGGGCACTGGCTCGCCAAGCTCGACAGCGGGCTCCGAGTCATCTAACAGAACCACGGCACTGGGTCACCAAGCTCGACAGCGGGCACCGAGTCATCTGGCAAAACCGCGGGCACTGGGTCACCAAGCTCGACAGCAGGCACTGAGTCATCTGGCAGGACAGCGGGCACCGAGTCATCTGGCAGAACAGCGGGCACCGAGTCACCAAGCCGGACCACGGGCACCGAGGCACCAGGCCGGACCACGGGCGCCGAGGCACCAGGCCGGACCACGGGCGCCGAGGCAACAGGCCGGACCACGGGCACCGAGGCACCAGGCCGGACCACGGGCACCGAGGCACCAGGCCGGACCGGGTCATCAGGCTGGATCGGGTCATCAGGCTGGATCACGAACACCTGGTCATCAGGCTGGGATCGGATCATCAGGCTGGATCGGGTCATCAGGCTGGATCACGAACACCGGGTCATCAGGCTGGATTGGGTCGTCAGGCTGGATGGGGTCAACAAGGCCGGATTACAAACACCGGGTCATCAGGCTGGATCAGGTCATCAGGCTGCATCGGGTCATCAGGCCGGATCGGGTCATCAGGCCAGATCGGGTCATCAGGCTGGATCGGGTCATCAGGCTGGATCACGAACACCGGGTCATCAGGCTGGATCGGGTCATCAGGCTGGATCGGGTCATCAGGCCAGATCGAGTCATCAGGCCGGATCGGATCATCAGGCTGGATCACGAACACCGGGTCATCAGGCTGGATCAGGTCATCAGGCATCAGGGCATCAGGCTGAACAACGGAAGGCGGGTCCTCAGACAGCAGGCTGACCGGTTTGGATACTGGTAGGATGGCACTGGTTGGAAAGAATTTTCGCTTCTTCTTGGGTTTAGTTACTGGAGCACTGTAAGTAAATGCAGGTCTGTAAATGGATGGAGCAGCAGAAGACAGGGAAGAGCCGGAGGATGGAACAAAGGATGGAGCAGTTGCTACAGAGGGCTTTTTTACTGGGTAAAAGGCAGGATAGGTGCAGCGAGTGGGAGCAGGGGACTGACATGTGGTAGCTAGCAGGGTATACTGGGCTGTCATTGGGGGTGCTGTCGGGAGTGCAGGAAAAGAGCTTTGAGAAGAGGAATGATGAGAAGCAGGACTGGTTTGTTGCAAGCTGACTGAGGCTGGGTGTAACAAGTCTGGCCAGGACTGTAGTATGGGTTGAACACAACTCCGCTTACACATAGCCTGTCTGACCAAAGACTGCACTGCGTCTATACACTCCACTAGCACATGTG